TTAGCTAAGACATGGTCCCTGGCCTCATGGAGCATAAATGGTCCCTGTCCTTCGGAACTCCCTGTCTGGGGTGGGGGGGGGAGCTAGAACACACAGGTAGAACAGATTATAGGCAGAGCAATTAAATACTAGGGAGAGTTAGCAGACTTTTCACTGGAATTGTTATCATCCATTTATTCATCCATTCATGCCTACCAGACCATAAGTCAGTCAAAGAGTATTTATCAAGCACTTACTATGTACCAGACACTGTGCTAAGTTCTGGGCATATAAAGAAAAGCAAAACAAAAACAAAAACAAAAACAAAAAACAAAAATCACACCCCAAAACAAAACAGCAACTGCTCTTAAAGAGCTCCACTGCAGCAAGGACTATATCTTATGTGAACCTTAATTTCCCCTTGAGCACAGCATGGGCCCATGTAAATGATAGGTACTTAATTAGTCTCATCCATCCATCTAGCAAATGCTTACTCAATGCCTACTATCTACAAGGCCTTGTGATCAGTTCTGGGGAAAATCAGACACAAGAGCGTCGTCCTCACACATCCAGTAATACAGTAAGCATGAATGAATAAATTCAACACACATCTAATCTGGCCCTTGCAGGAATAGGAAGTTGCTCCAAGGTCATGACTACAAAAAATGGGGAGAGGAAAGGGAAGGGGGCTTAGTACAAAATATCGTGCCCTCTATGTACACCAGGCAGGTGCAGGGCTGGCTGGCCCTGCTGCAGAATCCCCTTGGGCAGCCTAGCACACACATGCCTGTGTGGACATGTATTTGTATACTGGGACCCGTCCTCTTCTCCTCTGTCACTTTTGGGAAAATACATCACTATTACAATTGACCCAAGTTTAGGCATTTTGTGCCCCAGCACTGAGCCCCAGGTATCACGCAGCATAGGAACATAATACATATTTTGTTGAATAAAAGAATGAAATGGCTTTTTAGGCATCAAAGGAAGCCCAGAGGGCAGGGGGAGATCTCACCTGTGCAGGTGGAGGATGTGAAGGTTGCACTGAGCTGTGCCCAACAGCACAAAGGCATCAGTCAGGGCTAGGGCTGTGGGTTGCTCCTCCAGCTTCCGTGATGCCAGCAACCGCCCATTCACTGAATAGAGGTGCAGGAAGTAGCTCATCTAGGGTAGGAAGAGGATGGAAAGTCAGTCTGATTTTCATCCCTACTGATCCAGTTACCCCACTGACTCCCCCTCCCCAACCCTTAAGATGGAGACTCCCTTACCCTGGTATTCTACAGCTTGTGTCCTCTATCCTAGAGTGTCCCCACCTAAATTTATCCCTTCCTGCTCCATGAGGGTACCTCTTCCTTCCCGTTAAGGGTTAAGGGCCCTTTCTTCCAGACTGAGTGTTCTCTTTTTAAATATTTTATTTTTTCCCAATTACATGTAAAATTTTTAAACATTTTTAATTTTTTATTTATTTTGAACTTAAATACAAAAAACAAAAGAACATTTCCATGTACCCAACACAACATAAAGAGGATTCAATATAAAACCATTTCCATTTCAGACTGTTTACTTCAATGAAAAAAAAAAACTAATAAATACTACACGTTGTTTTCGAAGCTACCCTGCTTTTCTGTGCTTCCTTCTACGTTTTCTTTTGTTCTCTGCTGTGCATTAATGTTTGTTTTTTAAAAATTTTAGTTCCAAATTCTCTCCCTCCCTCTCCTCCCCCCTCATGGAGAAGGCAAGCAATTGGATATAGGTTATACATGTTCAGTCATGCAAAACATATTTTTTATTATTTCTTCCAGGGTGTTCCCCACACATTCACACAGGCACATACATGCGTACATACACATACACGCATGCATGCATGCATACATACGTACATACCTGGGCCCCTGGCCGTTCCTGAGCCAAGCTCTGCACCACAATCTGGCCCTCAGGTCCCAGGGCCAGGTGGGCCACAGGCCCGGGCACTGCACCCCCTGAGGGCTGGAGTGAAGCCACAAACTGACCTCTCCTGATCGTGTGGATGATTACTGTGCCATCCTGGAAAGAATGAGACATTATGACATGGATTCAGAACAAGGAGACCAGGGGTCAGGGGACAGAAAACTCTACCAAGCCCTGCCTGGAATCCCTTTCTTATCCCCCCACCAAAAACAAAAGTAAAAACATGGCACTGCTTTGGTCCTGACCAGCACCTCTGGGACCCCAGCCTCACCTTGGAGCCTGACACAGCCATGTCCAGCTCTGTGCTGATGGCCACACACGTCACCTCAGCCTCATGCCCATATAGTACCTGCACTGGTTTTGAAGCCAGCCCTGCTGACAGGCCACCCTGTGGGAGAGAAATGGCATGAGGAGACTAAACAAGGAAGTCCTCTATAAGTGGGAAGAGGAGAAGTGGGGGGTGGGGGGGGGAGGAAGAAGGAGCATCCACATGTGTGTTAATGCCTATGAGGGAAAGGAGGAAGAGAAAGGCGTTCATCTGGTCATGTCATTCCGCTACTCAAAAACCTTCAGTTGCTCCCGATTGCTTTCCAAGTTCACATTACTCTGCTTGGCCTTCTACAACATAGGGCCACTATACCTACCTTTCCAGCTTTAAACCATGTCACTTCCCCTTTGTGTAGTCCATACTGCAGCTAATTTAGAGCTCTATACCCTGAACACACTCTGCCTTAGCTTCCTCTGTCATCTTGCCTTAGCTTACACACTGTTTTCTAGGTCTGGTCTCTCTCCTGTTCTTGACTTATTCTATTCCTATTCTGCCTTTAAAGGCAATCCAACTGGATCTTCTTAGTCGCTTCTGGCCTTCCCCTCAGACCTCACAAATATTTGTATGACACTCTTCCAGCGCAGGCAGGTCACCTCAGCTTGTTTCCAGAGCAATACTTACTTGTGTAATAAACACTGTGAATTATAGTTATCTGCCCTGGACAGACCGGGAGCCACATGAAAGGCAGGGAAAGAAGACAGAAAAGGAAGAAAGGAAGGAAGGAGGAAAAAGGGAAGGTAGGTAGGAAGGAAATAAAGAAGAAAAAGAGAGAAAGGAAGGAAGGAAAAGAAAAAAGGAAGGAGAGAGAAAGTCAATGTAAAAAATATAAAAATAAAACTCAATGTCACATTTAAAAATACAAAGAAGAGAGAAAAAAGTTCAGGAGGGGACAAAGAAGCAAGGCGATATGGTATACTGTTGTGTTAAAAGAACAAGCTGTACATACCATGGTTTCATATGCAAACATCTTTTTTTATTCTTTGCATGTGGAAATGTTTATGTTTATTAGTGTCTGCTAAAGTCCAGAATGAAAAAAGTATTTTGGAAAAAATGGTTTGGGGGTTGAGAATGGGTATATGGGATAGACTGAACCATATCAAACCAGAGCAGAAGAGAAACCAAGAAGGATAGAAAAGAGGAGAAAAAGAACTGCAAACATAAAGGACAGAGAACGTCTGTCTCTGTCCCTAGCCCAGCTACCCCTCCCCCCAGTTCCTGCCCCACTCTGGTTCCTGTCCCCTTGTCCTTAGGGAGCTCACCTGCTGTAGGACCTGCCACACCATGCAGGTTGTGTCCCGGGAGCCTGAGATGAGGTAGAGTCCGCACAGATCCAGGGCCACGCAGGTCACCACGTCTGCAGGCAAACATATAGATGGACGGAATTTTTGGAGACTCCCTAGCCCCATCATCCCTCAGCCACAGGCTTCTCCCTCTCTGTTCCCTACCCCCACCCCCCTGCATCAGGACAGCCCATACCAATATGGCGACTGAGTTGGCTCAGTAGTTTGCCGCGGGGCAGGCTGGTCACTCGAAGGCTGCCATCCCAGTGACCACCACTGAACAGGAGCTTCCCATCTGGGGCCACAGCCAAAGCGCAGCCACTCACGCCCCCACCCGGTGCCCAAGGGCCACTCAGTAGTCTCTGTGTCCTACAATAGGAAGAGAGCACTAAGTACAAGGCTGGCCGCACATGAGCACATACCTTTCTTCCTGTCTTCTTCATTTATGCCCTATAGATGGTACTAGCATCTGCCCTCCAAATCCTTTATCCTAGTGGTCCCCCCCATTTGTATTTGGTAATATCCGGTCTATATCCTATCACTCCTTGCCATCTTCTTCTCAGACCCTCCCTCTCACTCAACATCTGTCCATCCTCATACTTGGCGTTGGACACAGTAGGGTCCTTGCTGAAAGTAAAGTAGTTGCTAATGTTCCGATCGTAAGGCAGCCAGTTGTGGGTACCCAACAGTCCACTGGCACTCACAGTCACCTTTGGGAATGAGGAGAAAAACACGTATGAGAATCCATCTAAATAGGAAGGGCCAAGAGTCAGAAGGGTAAAAGTAGATTGGAGAGTATGAGGCTAGGCAAAGGAGAGATGACTAGAAGATTCAAAGATGGCAGAAGAGTCAGGGGTCCAGGAAGACCACCATGCTTTCCTCCCTACAGCTCCTCAATGAGGACTTACCAGCAAGTCTGGAGATCCTTGGGTCATGAAGGAATGGGACTGCCGGTGGGGCACTACAGCCAACACAAGGGGCACTCCATCGCTGATGCCCTATGGCGTAAGCACAACTTATACTTCCTTGCCCAGTCAGACCCCAGGGATGACAAGAGAAGGCACTAAAGATTCCCTAAACTGCTAGAGAGAAGAATTTCAGGACATTGTCTTATCTTGTCACCTTCTTCAGGCCTTATTTATAGCCAGGTAATTTTTTGAATTAATTTTTTCAGAGCATTTGACATTTTTTAAAAGTGCTTTCAAATCCATTATTCATTTTATCGTTCCAAATGCCCTAACAGGAGATGAAGGCAATGGGCTGTTATCCCCATTAACAGATGAGGGACCTGAAGACCAGAGAAGTGAAGTGGCCCAAGGTCATAGAGTATGGGAATACCAGAGCCAGATCTAGAATAATAACAATAACAGTAATAATAGCTGGCATTTATATAGTGCTCTAAGATTTACAAAGCACTTTACACGTCATCTCATTTCATCTTGGTTGTCAGCCAAAGGCTTCTCCTTTGACATGGAGTTCTTGGGTTTGGCTGATCCTGCTCACCTCAACAAAGAAGGCCTTGAGCTGGTCAAGATTTTGGAAGAGGTTTGGCGAAGAGGTATCAAGCTTTGCCAGGCGACGAGCAGCATCTTCAGCAGAGAGTCGGGGAGGGTGGGGCTCCTGAAGACACATGCAGGAGGGAGGAGGAGGAGGCCCAAGTCAGTTCCAAGCCTGGACAAAATCTCAGGGTACTGTTCCCTTTCCCTGCAAGCCCCTCCCACCAACCCTGACCTCACCTTGAGTAGCTGGCAAGGGGTCTGTCCGAAGTTGCTGATGATGCCCTCCAAGGCTTTCCGTTCTGTCTCATCTGCCACGGCATCCAGATCCACAGCCCCTAAGGGGTTTGGAAACACTTTATTGTCCACAGACCCACTTAGAACACAGACTACCACAGGTGGAAAGGGACCCTCTGGCACAGTAGCTAGAAGACAGTAGTGACTTGACTGATGTTTATTATTTTGGCTTGGTTCCATAAGGTATGTAGAGCAGGGGGAAATTTGTAGTAATCTTCACAGATTGCACAATTTTTCTCTTTCTGCTATGGCCAAGTACATTCTACCTCTGCTTAAAAGTTCAGGTCAGTCTTCCTCCCAAAAGAGACAAGGAAAGCGCCTGAAGAACACATCTCTATTCTTCATGTTATCAAGGAGAATAAAATATTCCTTCTTTAAAAATGGGAGAACTTCAATGTGAAAACAAACAAAAAGGATTTTAAGAAGCAGAGGGGAGTCCTGACTTGCGTCAGGAGGCTGAAGGGTGGAAGAATATGACCCAGAGAAGAAAGGAAAGAAGGACCAACTAAACAATTGATGTTAAGTGGCAGATATGGAAACCCTCCCCCAAGAGGAGGAAGCTGGAGTTCTAAAGAGGGAGTAGCTGCTTGTCCTCTGAGGATCCATGATGGAATCAACAGGTGCTGCCAGGTGAGAGTTCAGCCGGTAAAGGTCTGAAGAAGAGCAGGGGAGCTATGGTGATTGGAGACGCTGCTTGAGTCTGATGAGAGCGGGAAGACTGTTGTCTTCTCTAGACATATATAGGATGTGTTGGAGAAGCTCCCAAGATTTGTCAAATTAAGGATCATAAGATGCCGGATTTAGAGTTGGAAGAGACTTTAGAGGTCCTAGAGTCCACGGGGAAACAGGCAAACCAACCTGCCCAAGTGCACCTGTGTAGTGACAAGGGCAAGATCTGAACTCAGATTCTCTGACTCCAAATTCTGTGCTCTTTCCATGATGCCAGGGAGGCCACTTGATGACCGCTACTTATTTCTGGTGATTCAAGTGGAAATAGATGATACCGCCAGAAAGAATCTAGAAAACACTGCTGAAGATGATAAAATCTTCAGCAAGAAATATTACCTCAGAGGCACAGGTAGAACATTCCCCACTCCTGCCCATTTAAAGCAAGGTGTTCAAAATACAAAGGCAGAGTTGGGAAGCTGATTAAGAAAATAGTGCCTGAAAAATGGATTTCAATTTCTAAGCCATGGCTTAAAATTAAATAATAATACGCTCTTGGCCCCTCAGAGTCCAGTTGTTTCCTGTCAGTTAAAAATAGTTAACTTCCCCTTTTTTTTTCCCTGACGCTATCTAGTATTTAATATTCCAATTATGTCCCAGTATGTTTCTAAAAGAAAGTATTCCTGATATATATGTCTAAGCCTTATATAGTCTATAAACCTTTAACTTGTTTCTTACTCCTGATCCACATTTTCCAACATTTTTTGGGGGGAGAGGGACCATCTGTCCCTATGCCCTCCTTTGAACTGGAAATTTCCAAGTATAAAAGTATATGTTCATTTAACTTGAAAGGTCTTATCTAAGTTTTTTGCAGAACATCTCTACCTTCTCATCCTCTGCAACAAATGTTGACTATTTGCAAATAGTTACCATGGGCAGTACAACATGAGATGACCAATGTATAATGAAATGTTTCTTAATATCCTTGGATACATGATAAAACCAATCCTGTCAACATATCTGCCTCTCCTAACAGAATCAGTGAGCCACCCTTCCATTTGGCTGCAATTTCCTTATTGTCTTCTGGCTTTGTTTATAGGAAGAATGTCAAGGTTGAGATGATTCCCCTCCTCCAACAGCACAAATACTTTGTAGGTAGGTCTCTAAACAAGGGTTTTTCCAGAGTAACAATTACTAGGTTAAAGATATGTAAAGACATATATCTCACTCATAAAGGAAGAGGAAAGGCAAGAAGGGAGTAGAAGTGGAGTAAGGTTATACATTATGTCTCCATGATGTATACTATCCCATGAAGAAATCCAGGAACCATAGTGGGTCAGCATAACAGAGGATATATGAATGATAAGTGATACAGGAAGAAAAAGGAAAGACATTGTCATTAGGATATTCTACAGACTAGCTGGACAGAAGGAAGAAATAGAGTAAATGATTGTTGGAAATAGAGAAACTGGGTACTTTGGTAGAAAAGTAGTAACTTTAAGAAGAAGTAACTAATTACTTTATATTAGAATTTGTTAACACAGAAGAAGAAGAAAGCTGGGCTTAATCTGACGTACTCTGGATTTGGGAAGAGCAGATTTCAAAGCGTTCAGAGCAATGAAGGGGATGGGTTTAACAGAGGATGTCACCCCAAGAGAGACAATAAGGTATCAGCAATTAAATTCTGAAGAAACCAAGAAAAACAATTCTTATGAGAAGGGGGTATTATTTAAAAAGACCAAGGAGGAGACAGAGAGAACTCAACCAACTTGGGTCTTAAGACACCTACAGAAGATGGCAGGTTATGTAATAGAGAATGAACACAAAAGGTCAACATTCTGCTTCTTCTCCAAGAATAGAATGAGAAGCATTAACTCTCAGAATGACTTGAGGTCTGTCTAGGAAAGCTAAGGAAGTCACTGAAGACTTCTGCATTTGTATTGGGGGGGAAGAGAATTATCAAGGAAGGGCTAGAGACCATTGCTATGAGTACACAGGATGACTGATAATAGATGATGCAGAACTTTCATCTTATTTTTCTTCAGTTTTCTTTGCCAAGGAGAACAGTGATTGATTGGTATGGAAAGGACAGAATAAAAATAGTTAGCAGGGAGTTAAAACCCAAGATAAGTGGTGAGAAAGTCCCTGGTTGCATTTGACAAATTCAAGTCACCAAGTCAACATGAATCACATCCCATGGTACCAAAAGAACTAGCAGACGTGCTTGCCCACCCACTGTCAGTGACCTTTGAAAGACTGTGGAGAAATCTGTAACTCAAAATTAAAAAAAAAAAAGAGAGAGAATGCTAAAAATTAATTAATTGAAATCTAAAAATAAAAATGATTGTGGAGAATAGAAGCATCTCCATATTAAAAAAAAGCAAATTTCCTGATTTCCAAAAATAATCATATAGAATTTATAGAAATTGTAGAATCTGCAAACTATGGGACAGTGAGCTCTGATTCATGAAAAAATTTTTGGGACATATTAATTACTAAAGGGACGATTAGTAACTGTCTAGAAAAGGAAGTGGCAGTGACAAAGAGTCCATGAAGCTTTATCAGGAATGGGTCACACCAAAGAAGTAAGGGACTACAAGGACTGAACATCACATACGCTGTCTGAGGTGATCACTATAGCAGATTTGTTGCTTAATCGTTTTTACTTATCACACGTGAAGGTTCAATCTGGGCATGGATTGAAATGTCTGTCATGTGAAGACAAAAGGCATCAATAAAAAAGAAAAAAACACAGGACAGTGTAATTGGACTGACAGATTAAGGGAATTCTGTAGGTCTAGATGGCCTAGATTTCTTCTGAACATTTGACAAAATCTCTCATGACTGTCTTGTGGAAAAGATGGAGAGAGATGGGCTAGACAATACAATATAGTTAGTTGGATTCAGAAATGGTTGAATGACTTACCACAGCACACAATGGTTCAATGTGAACTTGAAAGGCCTCTGGTGGAAGAACCCAGGGATCTGTGCTTGGCCCTCTGCTGCTGAACATTTTTATTAATGACTTGAATAAAGGCGTGGACAGTATGCTTATCAAATATGAAAGTGACACATAGCTAGGAGGGTGACAGAGTCAGGATCCAAAAAAAAAAATCTAGACAAACTAGAATGCTGGATCAAATCTAACGAATAAATGTGAAACCCAATATTTGGGCTCAAAAAAGCAACTTCACAAATGCAAGATGGGGAAGGGGATGGCTAGGGAATAGTTTGTCTGAGAAGGGTCTGGGAAGAATAAGAGGCCATCCCTGCCCTCCAGGAGCTCCCAGGCAGAAAACAGTTCAAGCCAGCCTAGAATCAAGTGCTAAAGGGAGTGGTTAAGTGTGGTGAAAAGCCAGAGGCCAAAAAGATCTGGAGAAGTCAGAGAATGCTTTCTGAAGAAGGTGGCATGAGATCTGGGCTGTGTAAAGTGTTCCAAGAGGATAAGGACCGTCGAGATTATCAATCACATCCATAAAACAGATGATGGAACTGAAGCTGAGTGAGGGGTGAGATGATTTACCCAGTGTCACATAATCAGTATGGGCCAGTGCTGGGACTTTAAATACAGGCTATTGTAAGCTTCTTGAGGGCAGGGGACGTTTTTGGTTTTGTTTTTTTTTTTTCATATCTCTAACACCTTGTATACTGTGGGCATGCAGTAAATGTCTGCTAATTTTAGTAGAGCTGGCTCTTCGGAGTCCCATTCCAGAGTTCTTTCTTTCACACTGTGCTGCCTTTCCCTGTGCCTCCTTCTCTTCCTCACTGCTAGCTAGGCTCATCTCCAGCACTCTCTCCCACCCCTGTGCATACATCCCTGGCTCCTACACCTCTGCTGCTCAAATTGCCGGCCTTCGTTTCTGCTTGATCAAAAACTCAACCTTCCAGGTGTAGCTCAAATCCTCCCTGACCACCTCAGCCCACCGTGATCTCGCCCCCTCCTCTGAACTCTTACTGTCCTTAAAATCAGCCCCTCTTGACCCTGTCCCTTCTCTCCTGGTCTGAGCTCTCTGGTGCCATGTCTCCCTAACTTGGGCCTAAGAGGACCAGGTCATAGGATCACAGAACACTACAGCTGGGGAGGACCTAAGGTTCTAGTCCAGCACTTCCCCTCATTTTTGTGGACCAAAAAGCCGGGGTGGAATAATTTTCACAGGACCACATCAACAGCTGGTGTCAGAGCTGGGATCTGAATCCAGGTTTCCCGATTCCAAGGCCAGCATTCTTTCTACCTTCCCAGGTTGCCTCCCTACTGCCCAGTGGGTACAACAGAAGCTGAGGCCTGCCTATCCTAGGCTCAAGAGCTGAAAGCAGCTTTGGGTGACTCTCCCATTCCAAATTCAGAGATCTTGGATCATGTGACACAGCACTCCCAGCCCTGCCCTTCCCCCCCAGGTGAGCCACGTCTTGCCCTCACCCTCGTAGGTGCAGTAGTAGAAGACATTGAGAGCCTCCACAGCAGCAGGCCCCCGCTGCTTGCAGCCAAAGATGAGGTCGATCCATTCATGGAGGTGGGCAGACACATGCTCTGATTCCTGGGGGGGGGAGAGGTGGGGATGGCCACGGGGGCTCACTGCACAGTCACACACACCCCTCCTGAGCTTGGGACAGTGGGACAGGGGCAGTAGTGGGAAGGGAAAAGGCCTGGGGTGAAAGGGGTTGGGAGGATCAGGGTAGAGTTGAATAGAGTGGAGGATTAGAGGAAGAGGAGGCGTAAGATGAATGGATGGAGAATGCATGGATGAATGGCCAGCCTAACTCTCCGGCTCACCTCTCTTCCTTTAACCCCATCCCAATCCCAGCCTTGATCCCTCTCCCAGAGTTCTACACTTGCACAGACCATACACACTTACCAGGGCCTTTCGGTGCTGATGAATAAAATCTTCCCGGGAACGGGCCCATCGGGGCAGCACCACATCACCCACCTTCTCATTGGTCAGCTGAAGGCTACCCAGATCAAATCCTGGAGGGGACAGGAAGGAAGTAAACGTCTCGGTTCAGGTTTCCCATCCTTGTCCTCCTTTGACCCCAAGACCTATATCCCTCCCATTCTTCTTCTTGCTTTCAGGTCCTATATCCCTCCCATACCTCTCCCTGTCCCTTAGTTGTGTGTCTCTCACCTTCTCTTCCTGTCCCCAGCCCCAATATCCTTCCCACTCCTCTCTCTGTTCCCCAGTCCTACGTCCCTCTCATCACACAGCAATTTTTCTGCACTCCACCCCTAATCCTGGTGTTTCTCCAATGCTATCCCTGTTTTCCCACCCCGCTTCCATTCTCTCTTTCCCAATTTCTGTGTTCAACTGTTCCCTTCTATCAGGGCCTCCACAGCCCCTGGTCTCCCTCACCATTCTGGTTTTCTAGGAAGTCAGGGAAGTAGAAAAACTCAGGGATGAGCTCCTTGACATCAGCGGGACTTTCCAGGCGCGCCTGCCAGGCAGCTGCCACAGAGTGGAACTGCCGATCTGAGCAGTCAAATCTACGGGGGAGAACAGACAGCTCTGTGAGGTGCGTTGAAGTGACCAAGTCAGACGGATCTGGAGGAAGAGGACCTGGACTTAGACCCCAGCTCTCCCACCCTGCTATCTGTGTGACCATGAGACAACTTGGGCCTCTGTTTCCTCGTATGGAAAATGAAGTTGGACCAGATGATCTCTAACGTCCCTTCCAGCTCTGAGTCTTATGAAATCTATGAAGCCCAAAACTATGTGGGCATGACCAAGGGAAAGGGCAGGTTCCTAGGAGACCCACATATGCCCAAGTGCATAAATGAGGGCTCTATGAGAAGCGTGGATTGGAGAAATGGAAAAATTGAGTCCTGTTTGACATGGAAAAACTCGACATGCCAAGGAGAACAGAAAGACGTGACTCCAATGGAAAGAGGGAGGCACAGAGAGGCCTCAGGGACCGTGACAGGCCAGACCCGTCTCCTTCAGAGGTGGTCTGTGAGATTTGGAGAGTCACTCCCCTTCGGGTCTCTGAAGGCTGACTCATCAAAGAGACCTGGAGGGGCAGGCACAACCGAGAACCTGAGAGGGGAGAAGCAAGGACATTCCTAGAGCTCAGCACATGTTCAACGTCTTAGCTCTGCAAAGTGCTGAGGGCTCGAGGTATTCCATGTTTTGAATTTCCTCAAACGGATTTTGGTTGGACTCTTCATCTCCTGGTGAAGTGGTCCTAGCCTCTGCACTCAGTTTCTATCATGATCCTTGGGTCTTCTGGCTGTAGTCGGTACCTGCAGGTGCAGAGCTACCCCTGCTGAGATCTATTCACTTATTTTTCCCCAATATGATCCCTGTTGAGTGGCCAGGGATCTCATATTGAAGAGACTAGGTTGTATTTTTTGACTTGAAGCATTAAGCACAATGTCATCTATGAATAGAAACATCTGAAAAACCTCACCATTTGGAGAGAATTACACTTGCATTTGGACTCTGCTCTGGACACTCTCTATGAAGAACCCTTTAAACAAGCATACATTTTCTCTGATTCATGTCAGCTGATATTGATAATCAGAGGATCCTCTTGGTGCTTATATCAAGGGATCTCATATGATCTTAATACATGCACAAAAAACATTTTGTTGGAGGACAGACTTTAAGACAATATCTTTTCCTACAGATTTAAATGCTTTTTTTTTTTAAATCAACAATACATGCAGTGAAATGCTGTATTCCTTACACCCTTCAGTCCACAGTGTGATTAAGAAAATGCTGTCTGCTGTAAAAAAACCATCCACAAAAGCCTGTTCCCTTCTCACATTTTCATCGTCCACCTTTGACAAGTACGTATGTTATTTTCACAAAGATTTTACAGAGATGAGGAACTACAAACAGATTCATAGTCTTAAAATCCCCCCATTTAGATATTAATATTATCTACAATCTTCCCATTCTCTCCATTTCTTTCCTTTTTTGAGACATCAGCAAAGATTTCCTCAGTGCATATTTGCTCAGGTCCAGCTGCTCTTCCTAATTTCATCTTCTAAAACGCCATTTCTACTTGCTAACATCACATATTTGGACATGAGATGTTAGAAACTAGAAGTTGTGGTTCCAGCATCATCAATGACAGAACAAACTGAAACAGAAATACTTGGAGATTCGGTCCATCTTCTGCCTCCTTTCATTTTTCTCTTTAAATGATCTTGGTATGAACTGGCTTTATTCAATTTCATGCCAAGCTTTCTGCATACTCGTCCTCTCCTCTGTTTTGGGTGGCAATATTCTTCAATCTCCCACTAGCTTCCTCCATAACATTTTACAGACGAGTCTGACCTTTAAACTGATTTTCCCTTTGGCTGCCATGTCTCTTTCTTCGGCCGGAAGTTCAAGTGTTTACTGACTGAGGTCAATCCGGGGCTCTTTAGGCTTCCTTTTTTAGCTAGTTTATATTAGTTAAGTTTCTCTAAGAAACGGTGATAGTCAAAGTCAATGTTTTTAACCTTCATCCATTCCCCATTTTTCAGAGGTCATTTAAAATAGCTTGGGTTGAAGTTGTTATATGTATATGTGTAATAACTGCATGCGGTTGGTTCTTCTTGTGTTTATTTTTTCTAATTTAGTGTTGATTTTGACCTATACTTTTCATATTTGATGGTCTGCCTGCACATATACACAGCTAATTCTGAAACTAACCCCATGTTATTTCCTGTCTGTTAAGATACAGTAATTTTCCTTTTATGTGATGTTTTGTTTGTGATGCCTAGTCCCCTTCCAACTCTTTTTGAAGAAAGTATGATGTATTCTAGGTAATGTACTAGTCTTTGACCTTTTTCATTTCTTTTATTTATTTATTTATTTATTTTTTAGGCAATTGGGGTTAAGTGACTTGCCCAGCTAGTAAATGTCAAGTGTTTGGTCTGAGGCCGCATTTGAACTCATGTCCTCCTGACTTCAGGGCTGGTGCTCTATCCACTGCGTCACCTAGCTGCCCCTGACCTTTTTCATTTCTTAATCCTGGATCTTGTTTTCCAATATATCCAATATTCCAAATATTGGAATATTGTTTTCCAATATATACAATATTCTAAATATTCAATATTTATTTTTGAATTTTTTTGAAACTAAGTGTCCCTATCTTGCTATTCATGGACCTGATTTCACTATGGACTGGCACAGGAGGTTTGACTTCCCCTGTTTCTGACCTGGGCCAGTTTGCTCCTCTTCACAAAGTATGATGGCCTCCCATTGTCAGGGGCTTGCTGTATTAGGGCTAGACTTAGTATGGACACCTGATGGGTTTTAGTCCTACTACAACTCAGAACTCCTGAGCTCAAATGATCCATCAGCCTCAGCCTCTCCCAGTAGCAGGGATTACAGGCACATGCTACCATGCCAGGCTCCAATACATTTTTCACCTGATCCTCCCCTGGGCTCACTTTCATATTCAAGTTCTTAAACATTAAGGTACACACTGGCTATGCAAACTACACTCCGTCCTCCATTCACATCCCACCCCCTCTTGTCTCCATGATTTGGCTCACAATTCCCCATGCCTGGAATAAATTTCCAACTCCATCAGATGAAATCCTCCCCTTCCTTCACGTCCCAACTTGGTGCTATATCCTCCACAAAACATTTCCTGACTTGGCTAGGTAAACATGATCTCTCCCTCTTTATACATTTCATAACATTTTGTCTGGACTCTTCCTTTGCCCTCAGTCCCTCTCCTTTGCATCATTATTATCTGTGTACATAGCTTTAACCCCACTGGACTATAAGATATTTGAGACCAAGGCCAGATTTGTAGCTAACTTAGGATCACAGGATTTAGAGCCAGAAGCAGCCTCAGACATCAACCCTTCTGTTTTACAGATGAATAAACCGAGGCCCAGAAATCTGAAAGAACTGCCCAAGATCACACAGGGAGTCAGTGAGCCAGATTTCTTGCTCCAAATCGGGGCTTTTCCCACCATTATGCTGCTTTCCTATGATATACTGAGTAGCATGCACAGGGCCTTGTAGAACCTATACACTTGATAAATGTTTGTTAAATGAATTATCCCACTTCCAGGCAGAAGAGTGGCAATCCCTCTCATATCTGCGCTCGTGTCCTGCCCCCATACCGGCCACTCTGCAGCTGGATGTGCAGGGAGGTAAATGGCTCCATACGGATGAGGTAGTGCATGACACCCGCTGCGTTGGAGTAGTGGGTGCCATAATGGAACTTGTCGGTGGTGCCTGTGGGGTCCTCAAAGCTCTCATACCTGAGAAAGATCAAGGAGTAGTGAGTTTAGCAGGAAGCCCCACTCCCTGCCTCTCCAAGCCCTGGGACTGAGACCTGCACCCTGCCACGGGACCCGTATGCGGCTCACTTCTCTCGAACGAGCTGTGCGTGTTTGGAGTTCACCACTCCAATGGGTTTGGACAGGTCCCGAAACACAGATGGGTCATTCAGGTCCAGAGTCTCAGACGTATAATCCTGTAGGATCCAGGGGAACTGGAAGAGATGGACACAGTGGAAAGGTGATGGGGAATGAGAGTGCAGTGAATTTAGTCACAGAATGCAGGGGGAGGCACAGAGCCCTAATAGAGGAGGAAGGAAACCAGGAATCAAGCAGATGGGGCTGAGGACAAAGCTGGAGGGTTAGGGGCAGAAAGGAAGAAGGCAAGAAAGAGATTCCTAGGAGAGTGAGCTTGCCTGTGGGCAGAGGAGGAATGTTGATGGAGTGTGTCCGGGGAAGGTGTGAGGCTGAGATAAGGAAATTGTGGTTCATTTGGAGGTCAAGTATTAGGGGGGGATGATCTGTGGTAAGCCATGAGACTAAAGGCCTTAGCTAAGCAGGGAGGGAGGCCTAGAAATAAGGAAGAGAGAAAGCTAGGGTTTCAAGCCTTACCACAGGGTACTGGGAGAGGTCATTGTAAGTTCTCCCTGCAATGGTGTTGAGTTGCATCAGGTACTCAAAGTTGGAAATCTCTCGGTGGACCCATTTCTGGGAAGGAAAGAGCAAGAAGTACAGATGTTCAAGGGGCACAACGCCCACCCTGTTGGGTCCCTCACCTGATTGTCTAATCTGGGCTCTTTGGTCTCAACTTAGGGAAGCCCTGGCCAACGTGGAGGGACCAGTTGAACCTTGCTAGGGGTATAAGACTAACAAGATTGTAGAACCTTACAGACCATCTAGTCCAATCCCTCTTATTTCTTAGATGAGAATTCTGAAACTCAGGGAGGATAGATGAATTGTCTAAGGTCACCCGGTAGGAAGTGGCAGAGCCAGAAATTCAGCCTAGCCCCAAAGTCTTTCCACTACCCAACCTGTATTCTCCCTCTTCCATGCCTGTGCTTACACTGCTCCCTGTGATAGAAATGTCCTCTCTTTGCCTGTGGCTACCCCCAAAAGGCAATTCAAATACCACTTCCTCCCTGATACTCTGGGTCAGCAATGAACTCCTTCATCAGATCCCACAGTGGATATCATTTGGTGATATTTGGTACAATATTGTAAATTAGTTATCTGTGTAGGAGTGTCATTCCTTTTACTAGACTGTGAACTCTAGCAGGATAGGATCTGCACCTTATTTAAACTTGAGATCTCTACTTTACTAACTACTCAGTACTCTGCTTAAGTGCTTAAGAAATGTTTGTTATGCTTTCACACAATACTTATACACAAGAAGAGGAGTGAGGGAGCAGGGGTGGGGTGGGAATGGAGGCAGGAGTAGCTTACCTGAGTCAGGCCAGAAGCTCGAAGCATCTCCTGCGGAGAGTGGCTTCCATAGTAACCCTGGCTGGGGGGCCGAAGTCCCAGAATGCATGAGTACACCTTGTTCCGCACCTTAGAGAGAGGCAACCTGGTCAGAAGGTGGGGTCATAACAAGGCCATGGAGCTCTGACCTCCAGCCTCCCCGCCCAACACGTACATGGACACAAGCTCATATGCTGTGAAGACTCAGTGCGAGCCAAGAACCCAGAGCCACCCCCAAAGGGGGTGGAGCCACATAAGAAATTGAGGGAATCAGTAAGTTTTCCCAAGTATAAGAGGTGCCCCAAGTTCTCTGAGGGACAGAATACTGGGAATCCACACACTGGGGAAAAGTCTAAGAAAGGTTATCAGTGGTATCTGAGAGGGAAAACCTGACACTGTGGTAGGTGAATGGAGAGTTTAGACTTAAAGGTATAGGAAGCTCCTGTGGGAAGCCTCAATTCCCCACCTTTCGAGGGAAGTTGAGGAAGTAATTGGCCTGGTCAATGAAGAAGAGTTCCAGGGCTGACCGTCGGAGATTGTAACGCCGAAGGTGGACTTCTCGGAGTTGGGAGAGTGGCCGCCGGAAATCATACCCAATGCCTGGGGGACAGAGGTGGGTTTTTTCCCTTGACCTGGTCAACAGCCCCTTTCCACTCCCAGACAATCCTCCTCCCCACTACCCTTCTCCTCCTTCCAGGGACTATCATCACTTCTTCTCTACCACACTCAAACCCACTATCGCCTACCCACAGGCCCTTATCAATGGCTCTTATGACTCACTATTCCATCCCAGGATGGTTCCCCTTTGTGACCCTATGCACATTCACAGGAAGCTAGGAATGATCGAAAGGAAACAAATGGGGTCCAGTAAAGCACTGTCATACCACTACTATTGCTAAAAATTCATGATTCCGTCAACAAGGACGTTCACTCCATCCTTGAGGAAAAGTAGTTTCATGAGTTTCTGGGGCCAAAGTATTCACAATGTGGTGAACCTTCCAGAAATGAGCCTACCTGAACTTAGCTAGATGGTAAGCTCTTTGAAGACAGGCACCGTGTCTTTTCCTTTTTAACCTTTGTACTCCAACACTGAACACAGAGCCCTGGACATCATAAGCTTTCAATAAATTTCCCAATTAAAAAAAAATAAATTTCCCAATAATGAGCCTACCTGAACTTAGCTAGACTGTAAACCCTTTGAGGATAAGCACTATGTCTTTTTCTTTTTAACCTCTGTACTCCAACACTGAACACAGAGCCTTAGACTTCATAAGCTTTTAATAAAAAAATTTTAATAAAATAAATTTTTTGATAAAAAAAGTTAATAAAATAAGCTAACTCTGAACTTAGCTAGATTATAAGCCCCTTGAGGACAAGCACTACATCTTTTTTATTATAATCTCTGTACCTGAACACAGAGCTTTAGATGTCGTAGGTATTTAATAAATGTTGGTTGAACTTTAATTTAGCTAATCCCAGCCTGTGCCAGTTTGGTAGAACTTGCTGGAACTTGTACTCTGCAGGCATAGCTTTGAAAAACCCTGGGTCATCCCCATGTCCTGATAAGATAATGAAGCAGGACATCAGAGGAAGAATAAGAAAAACAGTGACCATTTCTATAGCACCTTAAGGTTTACAAAGTGCTTTACTTCCATTGTCTCATCTGATTTCACAACAGCACTGTGAGCAGGCAGAGCAGATATGGTTGTCACTGTTTTACAGAAAAAGGAGACTGAGGGACAGAGAAGTAGCCTTGCACAAAGACGTAGTAAATAGCAGAAACCAAAGAAGTGTGGGTGGCCTGTGCTTCCAGGCCTGGCCCAGGGCCCTGGGCTCCCCCGGCACGCACCCTCCTCCGTCTCGTCCTTTTCTACACTGCAATCATAGAAATAGAGGTGCTGGGTGGTCACTTCAAGGCGGCCTGGGATTACAGCCACAATCGTGATGAGCTGGCAGTCCTCCCACAGCACGAGCTTCTCCTGCTGCCCACCAGGCTCTGAGGACTCCGTGCTGAGGGAAAGGGGGACAAGCATAGGGACAGGTGAGGGAAGCCAGGCTCCAGAGGACCCCTACCCCCTCGGTCCCTGGCACACAGATCTGGGGACATAGAAGGTTTTTAATTAAGGCAAGTTAACTTAAATCGAATTCCTTGCACTCTGTGGTTCTCTAGTCCACGCCCACCATGCTGCCCCATGCTCACGCTGTGTCCAGTACAGCCAGCTCCTCCTCTCCCAGTTGGTCTTCCTCCAGAGTGCTGACCTTGGCCTCCTTGGCCACAGTCAGAGGCAGGGAATCCTCTGTGGAGGGTGGCAGGGGGTCAGTAGCACCTGTGAGCGAGATGTCAATCAACAAATAGTTATCTGGCACTTGCCACGTGCCTGGCATTGTGCTAAGCACTGGAGATGAAAAGGAAGGCAAAAATAAAGTTAGTCACTGCCCTCAAGGAGCTTATGTTCTAACGGGGAAGACAATGTGCAAACAACTATACAAGATAAACACAGTGTAGACGGAAAGTAATCTTAGAAGGCATCAGCAGTGAAGGGATGGAGGGAATGGGAAGGGCCACCAAAAGGAGGTAGAATTTGAGCTGAGTCTTGAAGGAAGCCAAGGAAACTAAAAGGTAGAGGCGAGAATTGAGAACCTTCCAGGCATGGGAATCATCTAGTGAAAAGGCACTGAGTTGACAAGGAACACAAGAAGGCCAAAGTCACTGCACATGGAGAGCAGCCAAGCACAAGAAGACTAGAAAGGTAAGGGGGCGCCACAGAGAAGACTCAAGATGGCTGGTTTGGGGCAGGAAGCCTCGGTCTGAAATGTCTGGTTTCCTTCCCTGCATGAGGAGGAAGCCAAGGAGGAGGAACAGACCCCAGAGTGGGGAGGGGAGGAAGAAGTGAGACTAGAACTCTTGATTCCTGGTTCTCCCAGTCTCTTCTGTCGGGGCTCAAGGTCTCCATCTCCCTCCTAAATCCCGTGCTTTCATTCCCTAGAAAGGGCCCTAAGGGATTAGAAGGCACTTGGAATTTCAGCTTCAGTCCCATATTTACCCAGGTTGTCTCGAAGAGCACTGGCCTCACTATGCTGGTCAAAGTGATAATTGGGCACCAGCTTCAGCCGCATCCGGGAGTAAGTCTCAGCGCTGGATAACTTCCATCGAGGAGGAGGGGGATTCCTATAGGAAGGGGGAAGGAAAGAGTAAGGGAAGAGTGGGGGAGAAGGGGCCAGCATGATTGTTTTTTGTTTATTTCTCTTTTGGAGACTGAGTCTCTTCACCTCACACAGGAAGTGCAGTGGCCACTCACAAGCCAGATCTTGCATGGGAGTTTGCACTGGCTACATTTCCAGCCTGGGCCAGTTCACCATACTGGTGCTTGCCTTCTTGGTGCCAGACTCAATATGGCCACCCAACTGCCTTTAGCCTTTCTCAGAGCTCCCAAACTCAAGCAATGCGCCGGCCTCAGCCTCCCCAGTGGCAAGGATTACAGGCATGTATTATTATATTATATTATATTATATTATATTATATTATATTATATTAT